TCAATTACAGATCACTTCTGTTTCCTGTTGACAATAATTTTCAATGTAATATGTAATATGCTATTAATTTCGTAATGTTTTATGTAAAATAAAATTCTCTCTTTCTCTCCGATAAAAAGGCAGCTACAATATAATCGCACAGAAATTGTATTTAAAGATAGATAACTCTTTCATTTTGTCTCAAGTTTTAAATACAACAGTTTTATGAAAGAAAATTACTCTTTTCACGACACGAATCTAACTTGACGAGAAACGCAAATTGGCACGATTATAATTCGTTATCGGCCGAAACCGTGCGTATGTGATAAGGACACCTTGGAAATGACTATCCATGAAATTACACGCGCATGAGAAGATCGCGAACAGCACCGACACCAGTTACTGATCTCCCGACTCTCGCCGTGCTCCGGGAGCATCCCGGGTGCACCCGATGCACCCCCTTTTACGCACTTCCTCCGGCCAACGTCGAGTTTCCTTCACAGGTATACCCATGCGCACTACACGAAAAACGAAAGAGGCAGCATCGAACGAAGAAGGTGAACCTTATTCGCGTATCGAACATTTGCGTCACGTAGGTAGTCAGTACGAACCCCGTGGACACAAAGGTTACGAACCAATGGCGTCAGGGTGGGCGGTCACGCTGCTTTCTCTTTATTTTTAATGAAATGTATATTTTCATCATTTTTCACATACGATAACGCTTAATGCCGCGGCGTCTCTTTATATAATGCGCCTTTCATAAGGCGCTTTGCGTACGAAGGATATTTCGTAATGCCATACGCAGCCATCTCCGCTTTATTATCCAGACATAATAAAGAAACGGCATTTAAATATAATAAATTTAGATTGGTTTTTATTGTGAAAATGAAAGAAATATCGGATACTTTCTATTTTTGCAGAAGTTTAATATTTTCTACGTAAGTTGGTCAAAATGTTTTATCACAGAGAATAAAGATAACGTGACATTTATATCCGTTAGATATACGGATTATTGAACGTATGCGTGATAAAAATAAGCGGAATATTTTTAACTGGCATTCATGATCAATTTCACAATTTAAGAAATTATGATCTCTTGATTACGTCTTCTTCTCTCCAATCAAATCAAATGCTTTGATTTTAACACAAAAGGGAAATAAATTTTTAACGGCGAAGATTGCAGACTACCAAAAAATAACAAGAGAATATTCTTAGAAATGTTTTACTTACAACAGAACGATATCAAAGTATATCATAAGCCCTATTTGCGAAGAAAACAATATCTAACATAATTTTTATATTTTATCTGTAAATACAAAATAATAATAAAAACAAGAAATATAATATGTACATATTCCCCGTTTACTTTAAACTGGAAATATAAAATAGTAAAATAAAAAAACAAGAACTATTATATGTACATATTCCCTGTTTACTTTAAACACACTATACCTTTTGTACCACTTAACCATGTTTGCCATGTTATTATTATCAGGATTATATACATATCACTTAGCATATTTACCTAATAATCTGTGACCCTATTTTTTGTTTAGTAGCCGTTGCGGAATAATATTTGATTATAAGAACCTTATTATGTTTACGTCATACATACGTAATCACAGGAAAAAATGTAAATCTTATCATTTTTAAATAAATGTACAAAAAATTAGTTAATTTAGAATACATTCTGGCAATTTGAAAATGAATTTGCTTATGTTTATGCACAGACTCATAATGTTATTTAAAATTTAAATTCTTTCAATTGTGTTTTTCGTATATTTTAACGTGAGTGAGAAAATTATTGTCTCTGCAGAAAATGTGGCCTATATAGAAACCATTCTTTAATAGTTTTTGGGCGATATAAATAAAGCCTTTTGAAATTGAAGAAATAGGTTGAAATCGACAGATGTGGTATCGTTTCAAACTTCGGCTTTCAAAAGGGCAAACGTATAAAAACTCGGGTCGAAATTGGATAGCCTACTTTCACTTCATATGAGATTCATCTGGCGATTGCATATACTTTATTATGAAAAAATGGTGCCCTATCTGCATGAGGCAAGGGAAAGCAAAGAGAAAGTCGGATATCTCATAGATATATTATTAGACGTTACTAAAATTTCACGTATTTAGAAAATAGTCAATGTTAAAATATTGATAAAAATGTGAAACAAATAATCGAATAAATTAATTGGATGCATTTTGCAGAAAAGATAATTTTTAATATTTCTCCATTAACGCGCGAAGCATTGATTTTTTTACTTAATAATTTTCCTACAAAAATTAAAAACTTAATCTGTGCTCAACCGCAATAATATGATCATTATCTAGATATTTTAAATTGTAGTTTAACATAATTTAATGCGTAAATGAAAAATATGGCTTAACACCATCGTAAAAACTGCATCATCTACTGTTTATTCAAGAGTTTAGCATATAAAATATACAGAATTATTGACGCTTAATAAGCAAGATTTTGCATTGAAGTGCGACGTGTTGTACGGCGCCATAATATTATCTCTCTAGACGTAGAATGCTTATGTGTAGTATGTATTTATGGTACGTATATTTGCAAGAATTTTTATATCTGAGAAAACATTTCAAATATTTCATACCTTCCTTTCTTATACATTTTAACTGCATGATTCTATCTAAATATACGCGCGTTAGGGAGTTATAACAATTCTCGGATTTATGCGGCTTGTGCAGTTAATTAATTTGATTATGAATGCATTTTTCATGATAACAAGTACGATTTGACATAAATATTATTCTCATATTAATAACGTTGCTAACGTTATTGTAAATGAGCATAATATCCGTTCGCGGTAAAATTGTATATTTTTATACGTATATATATATACGTATATAAATATATATTTTTATACGTATATAAAAATTTAAAAAAAGTGTCACACGTTTGTGTGACACTTAAAAGCGATCAGATATGTCGTTAATATCTACTAAATTTACAATATATTCAGCTTGAAATAAGGATCTATTATTTTGCTTGCTCTTCTTGTTAAACTCTGATTTGCTCGGTTTTTTTTATCGATATATAAATCTTATGTAATTTATGAAACAAAGGGAAATTCAAACAAAATTTGGGCGATACAAACGATATATCCTTTAACGGTATTTGAATTTAAGTCTTTTCATTAACATTCCCTTATTTTAGTTCAGTTGTTTTTTTATCACATTTATTCGAATGTATGTATTTATTTTTTATCAATATATTAATAATAATATATAGATTGCAAAATATGTAATTATTACTAAAATCTGCATTTTCTACAAATCTTGCATTTTTATTATATCTTTAAAATAATTTTATTTTTATATAATCATGACGTGTGTGTACGCGTTTATGGTTCAATATTTAAAAAATCATTAAAGGTTCAATGTTAAAAAATTCTTTTTGAACAGATTTTTTTAGACTTTACGCTTAGATTTCTTTTTATTAATACAAGTATAATATGTCGAATAATTAAAAATTGCTTTTACGACTTGTTACGACAATTAATTTACTTTATAAAGTAGAAATATTGCAAAATTAATAATAGATTAGCAGACAATAAGAAATAGTTTAAATTATAATTACACAGAGAAAATTTTATTTTAAAATTTACTCTAAAATCATGTTAATCGTGAGACAACATAGTATTTCGATACATTTTACTGTAAACTACAGTAAATTTGTTATTGTAGTAAATATTTAAAAAAAACAGTGAAAATCACTTGTCGAAATATTATGTTGTCCCATACTTAATATGTTTTTCAGAGTAAATTTTAAAATAAAATTCTTTCCGTGTGTAGTTAGCAATCCATAAACTTTAGAAGTTATCAAAAATAATGTTGTAGAGATGCACAAATCATTATCAATACAATAAAATAGAAATTAATATTTCTTTGTTAAAACATATAATATTATTAAAACATATAAAAACTTATTTAATAAGACAATTATGAAACAATATAATAATTATTTCAAAAATACATGTTATGCAGATTGAATCATTGCTACTTAAAGGTGTCTGTTTTGTAGAAAAAGATATTCATCTGTATTGAATAAAAATTAATATCGCCCCAAAATTCAAGACTATCGCTTTGCATCTTGAGGTCGATAATGCTTCCCGACCTGCGCGAGTATTTTCATGCATTGTATTTAAAGTACACACGCAAGTCACATGGCACTTGGTTGCGCTGTGAAGTCCGCTACTGACTAGCTGTTGGGCGTGGCCAACAGCCATACGACATTTCCACCAATCGATAAGCTTCGGTCCCCTCCACACCGTACTCGAACAATCCGACGGCTTGTGGAGGTATTCACGGGTTTCCCCTCTCGTTCTCGGGATCTTATCCTTCGCTCTGGACCTCGCCGGTGATGAAAAAAGTATCCTCTAATTGATTGCACGAACGACAAGATTTGTTTATTTCGCTAACACTTAATCGTATACCGATGAACATGTCATTGATGTTCTTTGTGAAACGGTCTTTTTTTTTTTGCAAATTTGTTATATTTTTTTTAGTAAAATGTCATTTAAAGTATGGTGTTATTTTAAATAAATATTGACCAATTATAAAAATACAATGATAAAATCATTCTTTTAGTTTTCAACACTTTTAAAAGAAGCATGGCGACATAAGAATTTAATTTAATATAGCATAGATCGCATTGATGTAATGTATGATTTGACGATTCCTAAGAATAATTATTCGCTGTTTCTAATGATTGCGCAGTTATAAAGTGTGCGCATTTACAAGTCGAGAATCTGTTATTTGATTTAAACCCACAAATGTGATATCTTGCACAAAGCTAAAGACGATTATTGATTTATTCTAAATAATAGAACTTTTCGCTTAAAATTTCGTAACATTTCCGAATAATAATTTCCGAAGCTTTCAAATAGAATAGTTGACCCGATAAGATTTGCTTTCAGGTCGCACGATTATGTATTATTTTCGATCAACGTCAAAGTATATAATTATCTGCGCATGTGATAGCTTGCTATGGTGCTTACCATGATGGTTGGCGGCTTCCGGATCCGCCGGCGATGTCGGCGAACATCATGGCACGCTACGCACTCAATATCACGTGAGATTCTGACAGATCCGCTACAATGCCTGATCATCGCGATCATCGGCCGCTTTACCGACTTGTCACGGTTACCGTGGTAACTCTCGGCGCACATCACTAACGGAAAGAGAATCTACAACGAGCGATGGAGTCGCAACCTTAAGGGGGATGAACCGCGGGCCATTTTCGCACTCACTTATATCAAATATTCTATTTCGCGGGACAACGCGAGACTCCCGAGAGATGCGGCACTTAATTACGTGTCGATTGACGTACAACGAGAGGAGCTCCGGCAAATCGCCTTCGGCGGAGCGACGACCGGCAGACCGAAATGAATGACATCGCCGTTCGGCGACGGCGAGCGATGAGGCTGATTCTTTTGCGGATATCTCGCGAACTAGACCGAAATGCCGAACGAATACGACCGGCAAACGCGATGGAACGTCCGTACGTTCGGCGTTCGGCACACTATACGCCTTTGGCTTTGCTATACTATAAGGTAGTAAGTGAGTGAGAGACCAAGCGGGACCCCTACCGGCGCAGCCGTACATCTTAGTATTATGGGCAACTCACATTGGAAGATACGCCATCAAGCATAGCCCTAGCGAGAGCGCGAGAGCGAGCGAGCCGAGCCGAGCGATTGTAAAAGTTTTAGGGACACTTTGCGAACACCCTCTCCCCTCTCCTCGCTACTCTCTCGCTCTCCGGTGCGCCACCCCACAGAACCGCGCCCTGGTTCTCTCACCCCGCCGACCATGGGCGACTAGAAATGCCGGAGAGAGGCGAGAGAGAGAGACCCCGGTGGTGCCACCTCGAAATCCCCCTCCTGGTTCTCCCTCTCCGGCCGGCAGCTCGACCACACCAGAGGAAGATGGCGAGGGCCGGAAGAGAGACGAGACCCGGGAAAGAGCATGTAGAGAGGAGAGATACGTTTGCATTCCTCGTGGTTGTTGATAATCGACGAGAAATGAAAAAAAGGCTCGTAGAGAAGAACGACGAATTGAAAAAGTGGACGTCGAGTTTTTGCTTGTTCGATAAAGAGGGTGACATTAACAGTCGCTCTTCTTCTATATTGTCTCTTTTTCATTCTTCTTTCCTTCCTCTCATTTTTCTCTCTTTTTCTCTATAAGTCTTTAGAGGATATCGTTCAAATTCGACGATGAGATGAATAGAGATGAGCACAGAGGCTCGTGGCGGGTTGACGAAAATCGTGTATTGGCTGCACGTCATGATGATCGCGACATGGGCGCGGCCAGAAGAGAAAAGCCAGCAGACAGAAAGAAAAGAAAAGGAGCGGAAAGGCGACAAAAGGAAAAGAGGGAAATAAATGTGAAAGGGGGAGAAAGCGTCTCTGCCTGTAGCCGCGGCTAGAATCTCGCGGTTGCTGGGAGAGCAAGAGACGCTGCGAAACGAAGACGAAGAGGAGAGTTTTCTGCCAACACATTTCTTGCCACTGTGCGGTGGCGCCCTCCGCTATCCGGCAAGAACCATGCCATTCCTCCCACACTTTTTCCGGATCTATCTCCCAATCGGTTGTGTCTACCAGTCGCTGGCCGCGAATGTCAGGAGACGAGGCTTTGGTGCTGCCATCGCAGCCGCCCTCGCTATTTTTCCTTGGCGAAATCGAGGTCCATCGAATTCCGGCTTGGTGATGTAGCAGAATATCTCGTCTCTGGATAATTCGGTACTAAATTTAATATTTTTATGTAGGTTTATAATTAAATAATAATAGATGTTTTAAATAAACGGAATAAAATTGCGAGAAGAGTGTCGGTAAATTTAGAGCGAAAAAAGAAACGAAAAGAAAACACGACGAACTTACGTTAACTACCTCCTACCCAGATAGCTTTTATTCTCACTCAAGCTTGTCGTCGGCAACCTGTCATTAGAAATAATCGCGTTGTCGTGCATTTACTGAACTGTGAAATTCGCACTTCGATAAATTTCTGGAACCTTCAGTCTCTGTTGAACTAGCGACGATATCACTTCGATAAATTTCTGGAACCTTCAGTCTCTGTTAAACTAGCGATATCATGAACAGCAATTTTTGAATATAAAAATCATCTCTAGGATATTCTAAAACATGATCTGCAAAGAAATGTTCTCTTCGTTTGCTCATTTTTATCCCGTTATTATTATTAAGTTTTATCTTGCGTTATACGTTTGTTTTTACTTAATGATTGTGCGAATAATTGTTTTAAAAAAGTATTCATTATCCCGTGGAAAGATGTGATAAACTCTGTGAAAGACTTTCAGTTAAAATATAAATTTATAACTTAAAGATCCATAAAAAATAATTCTAAAGAATATATATAGATTAAAATAAAAGGAGAATACTTCATGTACATATAATTTATTGTCCGTTTCAATTCTCGGAACATATTTATGTTTATATTTTATTCCAAATTGTTAGAGACTTTTCGGCCTATTATGAAAAGTATTATTTATTTTGTTTATTTTGTAAATAAAATTCTTTATCCATACATAAAAATTTCAGACATAAACGCGGTAGAAGAGCGAATATTCCGTTAAAGGTGAGCCGATCCGCCATAGAGATTCTTCATGTTGCGTATGATTGCTTCTTCAATTACAAACTTGCAAACTGTATATATGTATATGCCCTGCGGCGCGTTCGCGGCGGGATTCGCGGCGGGATTCGCAGTGGGATTCACAAAATGTTAACTTCTGTGTCAGCTCGATAGCGAGGCCAGTTTCGAATTAAAATGTGAGGAAACTTTAAACATTGACTGCGTGCACGAGGCGTACATAACATATGTCGCGATCATCGTCCATATTAATACCAATTAAAGCGAAAATACCGAAGAGCAGGTTAAAGGCTCCTCCTCTTCGCAAACCGACCGGGGATACGGCGATATAATAAAATCGTAAAATGACGGCACTGACCGTGTGTTTGGCGATATTATCCGGTCGCGATGGCAAGGGAGCCGGCCATGAGGGAGACGGTCCTCCACACGTGAAGCATAAAATACCCGGTTAAATGCGCCGAACGAATACGAAAAAGTCTAATATGAAAAAGCCCATACCCACTTAGGAAAGACGACGAGTTCCGAGTTTATGCCGCGGACCTCCGGCCGACCAATCGGAGCATGGGGATTTTGCGGGACGAGTAAATAAATTGGACGGTCCGCGTCGAAGCTTCCTGGAATCCGGGAGACATCTCTTGTCATATATACTCATATATACTCTTGAAATGTAGCTAAAAGAGATACATAACGAACAATGTTGCATAGAATGCGGAAAAGTTTGGAAGATAGAACGATCATTTTACTGTCATATTTTTTATTACTATCATTTTTCTTGGAATAATTGGAATAATTATTATATACTATTTACATTTTAATTTATAATAATGCATTTATGACACAAAAAGTTTTATTATTTTGACAGAAATGAAAGATTATATACTATTGCCAAGTGTGATCATGCTTATTTTAAAAAGAATATATATATGCATTTTAAACAACTTTTATATTCGCTTCAGACGTAAAATTATCAACATCTATATTGTGTCAAAAGGTACAAGATAATAAATAACCACACGAGAGACCGTAAAGTTTTTCTATTTCGGATGATCTTAAAAATATATCCTCAAGAGAAGTCTTCTCAAGAGAAGTGAAGCGAGAAAGCATGATTACTGCCGACTTCGTTCACACATAGTTACAAAGTAAGGACGAAGATGGAGAGAACAAGAAGAGCGAGAATCGTGAGGCGATATGTGGTAGGAGAACGAAGTTCCACATTTTAGCGGCAGAGTCAACATGGTGGCCGTGACGAGGACGATTCTTGCTCCGGCCAAGAGAGGCCAATGGACAACGACGGTCTCGTCCCACCCCATAATGCCCCATATACTTGGCAATTTATGCGCCGAAACGTATTAAATAGCTTTCTGCCCCCACTATAATGCGCGATCCTCTCGACGGCGCGCAGGCGTCTCCATATAGCTATGGCGGTAACTATATATTAAAGCCAATATTTTTAAATGCGATACACCTACATTGTAAATACCGGTGTTTTGTGCGACCCTTTCTAAGAATAGACCCACACTTGCGACATTCGGCCGCGTTGAGAGCCGCGCGGAAGCGATCATACGGTGCAGCGCGCTACATGGCGGGAAAGAAGATTCCGATCTTTGTGCCGTCGAGAGATTTGAGCCTCGTGATGTCTATAGACCTGGCAAGGACGACTAACAATGTTGCAAAGTGTATTTTAAGGAAAACATAAATGGTTAATCGATAACCGGGCAGTAATCTATAAATACCCGGATACATGCAAATGCCGTGCAATATGGGAATTTAAAGAGGTAATCGATTTTTCTTTCCACTAATAGCTTCCCGTCTTTGTCTCGCGCGAGTCACGCAACAGCAGGTGTCAATGAAAATTCATTAAATTCACTTTCATCCATTTCATTCGTTACGTTCCCATACTGCATTTTTCTATTCATTAGTCAACGTCAACGAGATAAATTAATTTTTTATTTATAAAGTTTTCAGTTAAATATAATCGTAATTTATATTTCACTCAAAGACGCTTCTTAAGATTAAATTATATCTCTGCGCAATACATAAATAAATATACCCATTATCATACTGAGATCCGTTTCGAAAGCACCATTTTAAAATGCACAAATGTTTACTTCTTAAAAAATAGGAAATATCTAAAAATCTTGACTACTTCGTGTTTCATGTTTTTCTGAATGCAACCAAATCTATCTCTTATTTAACATTCTTCGCGCTTTATTTCTCTTGCTGAGATCACATCCTGAATTTTCCAACAGCAATCACCACAATCGCAAGCGCTACGTTCATTCGAGTTTCATTTACACACATGTGTGTTAATTTACAAACGGTAATAAAGCCGCGGAACGTTCGTCGTAATCCCTGATCCAGTCGACCAGAGATAGAAAATTGGAGAGCGGTTCGGCAACGACTCAATTGAACTCGTTACTCGTTCGACCGGAATTTGAGAGACAGTCGAATTATTCTTTCCCTTTCTTTGCCTCCAGACAATTGTCTATTGCCTAATGGAATTGCCAGCCCCAATACGCGAGTGGGCGAAGCTTAAGTAATAGTAAAACGTTACCAAAAGGAAATGGCAATGCCCTTACTTCGTTATTTCTTTCTGCTCCGCCTTCTTCGCCGTAAAAATTGTAATTCTTGTCTCAATCAAATAAAAAGATTGTTATCATTTTTTGTTTTAAATATTTTGTTACTTACTATTAAAATACATCGTAAACGCATGCAAAAATGAAAAGGAAATAGAAAAATATTCATTACCTATATTTACAATAAATAGAAATTCAAACAAATTTATTCGTGATAGAACCTTAAAAGAATGAGGATCTTATTAAAGTGATTTAAATCTTTATAATGTAAATATTGGAAATTAAAAATATATATTAAAAAACAGCAAATTATATATAAAATAATTATGCAAGTTACATAATAGAAGAATCATCTAATCATGTAC